GTGATGTAGCAACTCATGTTGCTACTATGCCAAGATTCGCCGACAATCAACTCAAGCTCAGCTTTCATCATTACTTCATAAAGATTACCTTTGCTTGTTTGTAGGAATCCTCATGGAGGAACAAAATTCCAGTGGCGTATTGTCCAAGAGGTGGAAGTTCGACACCGTCTTGTCTAAAAGTGAAATATGATACAGTTAACATATTCTCCAATGCAAAGCTACACTTAAATGCAGCGTTGCTTTCAGATGCACTCACAACCTCCTAAACTCAAACAGTTATAAGAAAAAGTGATTTGTAAGAGACGAGGGGTCTTATGCATGAACATTCCCGATGGAGAAAAGAGAGGAGCTTAACAACATCCTTGGTATAGAGAAGAGGAGTCGTAGTTAGAATAATTTCCTCGAGAAGTGTTGGTGAAGGGTTGTTTCAATTGTGCTAGGTTCATAAACCCAAGTTTCACAGAATTTCTTTAAGTTAGCTGCAAAATCACCTAGGTAGCCCCCTACATAGTCGAAGTTGGCTGCTGTTTTAAAATGTTCTTTCTACTGGATTTCCGCACAATGTCATAAATTTTCAGAGAGTTTTCGTGATACCTTCATCCCAAGTAATAAATTCATTCGCAGCAAAACTAAATCAATAGATGTAAATGAAATGGGAATCATGTTCTAAACTTGAGGAAACATTCTCAACGGGCTTTAGTAATTTTGCAGCGAATAATGAAATCTTAAAGAAGACCATAGGAAATTCAGAACTACACAAGGTAAATGACGAGTCCTCGTTAACACTACTTTTCAATAAATTGACATTCTCTCCTTCCCTCTTGGAGTTCACTCTAACAATGACCGATTCTTTCCTTAGTAAAAGTGTTGATAATGTTGATGCTCCCTCATCGGGGATGTTCATGCTCTAAGCAATTCCAAGAAATTATTTACTAGAAACAAACCATGCTTCAATACTTTTATTTAAGACTTCAGAGAAAACAGCTCAAATTAAGGCGTACAGAAAGCCTTTTCTATATTTGATGATTCAATGATCTTTAGAGCCACCTAGTGATGCAATGGTGAACTAAGGGTTTGTAATATTACTTCTTCTCCCATTGAACAATCAAAAAACCCACACCCTACCATGAACCGTATCTGATCCTCATTAAGAACTCCAAAAACATGTACCAGATAAGTTTCAAATCAGCATTTGATTGCACAGTTCCGAAAGGACATTTGAGTAAAAAATGTCGAGGGATAAAATCTACATCTAACGTTGAATACGATAACTGTCTTTGCACCAAATTTGACGAAGAGGCAAAAAGAGATCGCATCTCTTGCAGA